TTCCGACATGCAGATTAAAGCGGCCGCTTCCGCTCTGCGTGTGTGTCTGTGTGTGTGTGATTGTTGGAAAGAAAGCGCTTTAGCTAATGGTGTAGAACGGCGGCGGTGTAATTAATTTGATGGAAGGGAATGGCCGCGGGCCTGCATGTGCTGCGTCTGCATTTCTGCCTTGTTCAAAGCGCCGCTGAGAGCTCGTGTCGGGATATTGATCAAGCATGCTTAGTGGATCACGCTGGGCTTTAGTCTGCCTTTGATTCAGGTTTAGAGAGAATCACAGGACGGATGTATTTTAGAGGCTCGGCGGGGCGTCTGTACTACAGCTGCGGCTGCTCAGGTGTTATAGTAGCTCAGCGGGCATCTGTAGGGTTGCCGGGTTTTCACAACAAATCTGCACACTGCCCAATCGAAGCTAGTTCAAAATCAGCCCAAAAGCCAATCAAAACTAGCCCCATGGACAATAAAAACTAGCCCAAAACTAGTTCAATAGACAATCAAAGCTAACCTAATGGACAATCAAAGCTAGCTTAAACTAGCCCAATATCCAATCAAACTAGCTTAAAAATAGTCCAAATGGCCAATCAAAACAATCCCAATGGCCAATCAAAACTAGATAAAAATAGCCCAGGGGCCAATCAAAGCTATCCCAAAACAAACACAATGACCAGTCAAAACTAGCTTAAAACTATTCTAATGGCCAGTCAAAACAAACCCAATATCCATTCAAAGCTAGCTAGCTCAATTTCCAATCAGGATTAGCCCAATAGCCAATCAAAACGAGTGTAAAACTGGCTCAATGTCCAATCAAAACTAGCCAATTGCGAATCAAAACTAGCTCAAAACTGGCCCAATGGCCAATCAAATCTAGCTTAAAACTAGCCCAACAGCTAATCAAATCTAGCTTAAAACTAGCCCAACAGCTAATCAAAGCTAGCTTAAAACTAGCCCAACAGCCAATCAAAGCTAGCTTAAAACTATTCCAAATGGCCAATCAAAACAAGGCCAATATCCAATCAAAACTAGTTCAACGAGCATCAAAACTATCCCAAAACAATCTCAATGGGCAATCAAAACTAGATAAGAAATAGCCCATGGGCCAATCAAAGCTATCCCTAAACAAGCCCAATGACCTGTCAAAATAGCTTAAAACTACCCTAATGGCCAATCAAAACAAACCCAATATCCATTCAAAGCTAGCTAGCTCAATTTCCGAACAGGATTAGCCCAATAACCAATCAAAACTAGTGTAAAACTGTCTCAATGTCCAATCAAAACTAGCCAATTGCGAATCAAAACTAGCTCAAAACTGGCCCAATGGCCTATTAAAACTAGCTTAAAACTAGTCCAACAGCCAATCAAATCTAGCTTAAAACTAGCCCAAAAGCCAATCAAAGCTAGCTTAAAACTATTCCAAATGGCCAATCAAAACAAGGCCAATATCCAATCAAAACTAGTTCAACGAGCATCAAAACTATCCCAAAACAATCTCAATGGGCAATCAAAACTAGATAAGAAATAGCCCATGGGCCAATCAAAGCTATCCCTAAACAAGCCCAATGACCTGTCAAAATAGCTTAAAACTACCCTAATGGCCAATCAAAACAAACCCAATATCCATTCAAAGCTAGCTAGCTCAATTTCCGAACAGGATTAGCCCAATAGCCAATCAAAACTAGTGTAAAACTGTCTCAATGTCCAATCAAAAATAGCCAATTGCGAATCAAAACTAGCTCAAAACTGGCCCAACAGCCAATCAAAGCTAGCTTAAAACTAGCCTGATGTCCAATCAAGACTAGCTTAAAACCAGCCTGATGTCTAATAAAGATTAGCCCAATAGCCAATCAAAATTACCCCAAAACAAGCAAAATGGTCAATCAATACTAGCCCAATCAAAATTTGCTTAAAACTATCCCCAAACTAACCCAACTGACGAACAAAACAAGCCTAATGGCCAATCAAATCTAGCTTAAAACTAACCCAATGGCCAATCAAAGCCAGACTTAATAACCACCCTGCTGAAAAATCCAGCTTAAGGCCTAGGAATGTTTGGCTGGTTTTAGCTGGTCGACCAGCCTGGTTTTAGAGGTGTTTTGGCCATTCCAGGCTGGTTTCCAGCCATTTCCAGCCTGGTCTTAGCTGGCCAGGCTGGAAAATGACCAGCCAAATCCAGCCAAAACCAGCTTGACCAGCCTGGTTTAAGCTGGACATAGCTGGTTTTGGCTGGACTCCCAACTTGGGTAGGCTGGTCAAGCTGGTTTTAGCTGTTCATCTCCCAGCCTGACCAGCTAAGACCAGGCTGGAAATGGCTGAAAACCAGCCTGGAAGTGGCCAAAACCCCTCTAAAAAACCCAGCTTGGTCGACCAGCTAAAACCAGCCAACCAGCCTAGGCTGGCTTAAGCTGGATTTTTCATCAGGGCAAAAAAAACCCAGCCCAGTGGCCAATCAAAACAAACCCAAAACTAACCTAATGGCCAGTCAAACTAGTTGAAAACTACCCGAATATCCAATCAAGACAAGCCCAATATCCAATCTTAGCAAGCTCAAAACTAGCCCAATATCTAATCAAAACTAGTGTAAAACGGGCCCAGTGGACAATCAAGACTGGCCCAAATAATCAATCAAAACTAGCTTAAAACTAGCTCAATGGCCAATCAAAACAGTCACCATAACCAATCAAAACTTTTCTAATAGCCAGTCAAAACTAGCTTAAAACTAGCCCAATGGCCAATCAAAACTAGTGGAATGTTAATATAATTGTAGAGTGTGTTTTCAGGCTGTTGAGTACATCATCATCTGCTTCAGTCTTCAGGCTGTTGTTGTTTGCTCTTCATCTGCCGTTCTGCATCACCTCGCTCATTTCTCCTGGTTAAAGTGGACAAACATCACAGATCCATTAGACTCCAGTAATGGCGGAGCTGGACGTCTGATCAGTGTGGGCTTTTGAAGACGAGCGCTCAGACTATTATTGAGATGAAGCCGATCGATAGGTAATTTTCCTGCTGAAATGAGCCTTTGATTGTGTGGCGGAGCATCGGCTGTGGGTTTGCCTTTAATCATCACACTCATCACCTCAGTCGCTTCAGCAGCAGCAGCAGCAGCACATGCTCTCAACACTGCACTCTTACACATTAATGATGCGCTCATCATCAGCTCCTCTCTGTCTGTCTGTCTGGCTGTCTGTCTGTCTGTCTGTCTGTCTGTCTTTCTGTCTGTCTGTCTGTCTCTCTGTCTGTCTGTCTGTCTCTGTCTGTCTGTCTGTCTGGCTGTCTGTCTCTCTCTCTGTCTGGCTGGCTGGCTGTCTGTCTCTCTGTCTGTCTGTCTGTCTGTCTGTCTGTCTGTCTGGCTGTCTGTCTCTCTGTCTGGCTGGCTGGCTGGCTGTCTCTCTGTCTGGCTGTCTGTCTGGCTGTCTGTCTGTCTGGCTGGCTGTCTGTCTCTCTGTCTGTCTGGCTGTCTGTCTGTCTGTCTGGCTGGCTGGCTGTCTGTCTCTCCGTCTGTCTGGCTGTCTGTCTCTCTGTCTGGCTGTCTGTCTGGCTGTCTGTCTGTCTGGCTGGCTGTCTGTCTCTCTGTCTGTCTGGCTGTCTGTCTGTCTGTCTGGCTGTCTCTCTGTCTGTCTGTCTGTCTGTCTGTCTGGCTGTCTCTCTGTCTGTCTGTCTGTCTGTCTGTCTGTCTGTCTGTCTGTCTCTCTGTCTGGCTGTCTGTCTGTCTGTCTGTCTGTCTCTCTGTCTGTCTGTCTATCTGTCTGTCTGGCTGTCTGTCTGGCTGTCTGTCTCTCTGTCTGTCTGTCTGGCTGTCTCTCTGTCTGTCTGTCTGTCTGTCTCTCTCTCTGTCTGTCTCTCTGTCTGGCTGTCTGTCTGTCTGTCTGGCTGTCTCTCTGTCTGTCTGTCTGTCTGTCTGTCTCTCTCTCTGTCTGTCTCTCTGTCTGGCTGTCTGTCTCTCTGTCTCTCTGTCTGTCTGTCTGTCTGTCTGGCTGTCTCTCTGTCTGTCTGTCTGTCTGTCTGTCTCTCTCTTTGTCTGTCTCTCTGTCTGGCTGTCTGTCTCTCTGTCTGTCTGTCTGTCTGTCTGTCTGTCTGTCTGTCTGGCTGGCTGACTGGCTGACTGGCCATTTGTTTCTCTCTCTGTCTGTGTGTCCGTCCATCTTTCCGTTTGTTTGTTTGTTTGATTGACTGTCTATCTATCTGTCTGTCTGTCTGTCTGTCCATCTGTCTGTCTGTCCTTCTGTGGATTTATCT